AATGCAAAGCACCAATCGCACACTACTTGAACTTGTCTCACGATCATGTGTAGCGGTTCTACAGCCCACCTCCTTAAAACGCTTGATGCCACAGACGTCATCTGGCAGGGACAATCTTGGTCGCCCAGTCGCTCTACCCGCTCGGCCCCTGTCTGCATGCAAGGTACAACCTTTGCCCTGGAGCGCACAGACGCACTCGAGAAAGTTCTGGCCAATCAGCTTCCGGAAGCGTTCTCCGGTCCTCGTTCAATTTCTGCACCGACGGAAACCTGGGAATCCGCTCTGAACTGGACGCCAGCTCACGCGTCCTCACGGCCGGACCGAGTGGCAACTTCCTCCTAACCCTTGTGTACACAACACATTGCTCCTATTATTCTGGCCTTCCCAAGACTTCTCACATCTCCTAAGGAGCCGGGCCTGGAAGATCGTAGCCGTTAGGCAGCTACCATCTCTTCCTCTTTCTCTCATACACTCTCAGGCATGACTAGACGCAGTTAACACTAGGCGGCGGCCACTGCCACCTGAGACAGCAACTGGGAGTTCTGTGAACAATAAATCCCACTAACTGGCGCCTCAGGCTTTTCTCCAGCAACCGGAGATTCGATGGTAGTTTCCTAAGCACAAGATAAAACTTAGCCGCTACATGGGAAAATGCAGTGTAACAGTATCGTGGACTTCAGAATGGAAGGCAGTACGCAATAAAAGGTTAACTTTTTTAAAAAAGAAGTTTCTATTTTTGAGGCCAAAAGTATGAATAAAATTATTTTACTGAAAAAAACAACCCGGACAGGAGGGAAATATGGCTAAACAACGCCAAAATACCAACGATGAAGTACCAGATCACCGAAATACCAATGACTCGCAAACCCTTATAATCGACAAAGAAAACGTATTGACCAAAGGCACAGCCAAAACGTGATGCCAGTCCCCTAGAATGACGCAGGGCGATAGCGTTAATGTCGAGCCGAAAGTTGTAGAAATGCAGGCGAAAGAGGGTAATGGCGTGGTCGGGAGTAATCTGCATCACGTGACTGAAATGAGCCGAACCGAAATTAAACACCCTTGACCTTTAAATAATAGAAGAGGTTTATTCGGAAGAAGCAAGATGTACATATGAAGTTCCGAGCTGCTGATACTGGCTCTTCATCAGGCGGAACAAAAGGAAGTGAGAGAGAGTAAGGTTACACTAGACAGTTTAAGTGAACAGGACAGGTAGACCAGTGGCGTGTGAAGTGAATCATAAATTGTGAGCGCGCGTGTTTTTGGGCGGCGTGAGTTTGGAATGGGGAGGGCGGATGGTGGGTCGGTATATGTTGAAGTGACTAGGTTAGCGGTTGTCGAACGGGGAACGGTACCTCTTGATCTTAGGCCATTGTATTGGTCGTTCTAATCGACATACCGTTTGATACTGCCCGCCGTAGAGTACCAAGCCTCCCGAAATTCACGCGCTGGTT